CTTCTTTCTCTTCTTATAGGGTAAGCCTTAGCGTAGCTTTGTTGGCTGGGGGCAGATAGATTGCTTGGTCAACAGGTGGGTTGGGCTTGACCGTTGGCTGTTTATGACAATTGGCTGGGAAAGCCAGCTGCCCAGCACCAGGGGACCATAGGGCCTGTGGAGGAAACCTCTAGTCCTATGGGAAGCTGGATTTAGAGGAAGTTCCTCTAGCTGAGATGAGCAGGGAGCCCCTGATCCCAGCTGGTTTGAGCTCCCGGCAACACAAGGTGAGCTCTCAAAGTAATTTTCAGATAATAACCAAAAATGATGGTGATTTCTTGGCAGCTGGCTTCTCTCACTACAGAATAGGTCAGTGAATGAGCTTCAGAAGTATTCCCTTCTGCATACCAAATTTTATTTGTATTGTATGTGCATTATTCATGTTTTTTTTTTCAGATCCTAGTTAGCAATTACAGCCCTTGATCTATACAAACTTTAAGGCAATGCTTATAAATGCCAATTTCAAAGATTATTGTAGAATTACAATACAAGTTCTTATTTCTTAAAAACACTTCAGGCTGGTTGCAGTGTCTCATGTCTGTAATCCCAGCACTTTGGGAGGCTGAGACAGAAGGATCGCTTGAGCCCAGGAGCTTGAGACCAGCCTGGGCAACACAGGGAGACCCCATTTCTACAAAAAATTTCAAAAATCAGTGGGCTGTGGTGGTCCATACCTGTAGTCCCAGCTACTTGGGAGACTGCAGCGAGAGGATAGCTTGAGTACCGGAGGTTAAGGCTGCTGTGAGCTGTGATCGTGCCACTGCACTCCAGCCTGGGTGACACAGCGAGACCCTGTCTCATAAACAAATAACCATTTCAGATTTTGTAGGGATGGTCTCTCTCTTTGTCTTTTTTTCTTTCTTTCTTTGTTACCTTGGAAATTTCTTAGCGATGTTGACCAAAATCAGGTGTGCTCTAAGGTGTACATGTTAACTACATGGCTTGGCTCTTACCTTCTTATTTACTATAGGGATCTTTTTCAAATGTATTGAGCTGTTTCTGCAATTGTATTCTTACATGACTTTCCGTTGCGATTCCTTTTTGTTTTTCTGTTCAGATCCGTAGGCATCTTTGTTCTTCAAGGGCCGGAATTCAATGCACATAGTTTAATGTGCATGCCAGTAGAGTGATGAGTGTGGTTTGATTTTGTAAAGATTCTAGATAATAAATGATCATAAGTCTTCTAAAGCTACTGGGATGGTAATGCTTACTCTTGCAGGAAGCATTTGCTGCTCTTATCTTTATTCCCATTGTCATTTGCTAGTGTGTAGAATGCATTTATATTTTGTTCTTTAAGGGTTTATTTGAGGACTGTCAGATAAACCCAAGTCCCAGTGGATCTGCAGAAAAGTTTTGATTAGTCATTATTGCAGAAGTCTACTTGATTGACTTATGATAAGACAGAAACACTGAGATTATTAGAAAAATGGTGGATTATGTGTAGGTTGGATTGAGTTTGCATAATAGGAAAGCCCTGGCATAGAAATACTTAAAAGTTTTCTTGATCTTAAAGTTTGGAAATATTTAAAAGTTGTCCCATCAGAAAGAATGAGCTTTATCTTCTGGGATTTCTGCCCATGTTTGGTCTGTTCCAAATGTTAGCTATTAGCGTCTTATTTATAGCCTACATCACAATTACTAAAGCACATGGGAAGGACAAGATCTTGACAGTCTGATCTAGCAGAGGCACTTAGTATTCAGTAAAAGTTTTCGTGATTTTGTTAATCCTGCTTCATGCTTCTGCTGCCAAATCTTCTGAAGTCCGCTTTACTGGGCCAAAATGTGATTTCAACCTTATTACTCTTTTTTTTTCACCCCCTAAGTAGAAACACTCTTTCCCCATATGTTGAAGTAACTATTCAAATTTTTATTGCTCAAAAATATATGACTATGTTTTTCATTTCTTTTGTGGTAATAGAAGGAATTATTATGAATTCTAAAACTAACACTGCTGTATTGGCCCATGATAGCTGAGGCTTCACTTACTGAAAGGCACACGTGTTAACCACTGCACTATAGAAACCTGCATAGAGGCTTCACTTATTGTAGGTTAACCTTTTTCTTTTCCACCATGAGGGAAGGTATATTCACATTAATATACTAATAATGTGCTCTGAGGATATGAGAGCTGAAAGGGACCTCTGATCATGTCCTTATTCTAGAGGTGAGGAAATAGGTTCCAGGGTCACTCAGTTTAGCCACAGGCAAATGCTACTATCAGACCATTGTTCCTTTATCCTAATTGGAGACCTGTACTAATAGAGTACTTGTTATCAGCTAGATATTAAGTGAAAATACTTTCTGAGTCATTGTGCAGTCTTTCTGAAGACTTATAGATACCTACTATACTTATCCTTGATAATTCTAATCTAAATAGACTGCCTGGCCCTGGATTAGAACTGATTTTGTTTCTGACTTCACTGAGTTCCTTTAGTGCCTTTGTTGTAAAGTAGAATTGAATCAAGGCATCTTAGATTTCTTCCTGCTCTCCCAATCATGTGCATTTGTTGAGTGCTTATGGTGATTCCAGGCATTGTGTTAAATATATTTCTCATGAAGCCAGACTTGCCTGGGTGTGGCACGGCTACTTATTAGCAAGTGACTTCATGTCTCTGCTTCAGTTTCTTCATCCATAAAATAATAACTACATCATAGGGTTGTATTGAGAATGAAACGAATCAATATCCAGGAGACATTCAGCACACAGTGCCTGGTACCTAGAAAATGCTCAGCAAATACTAACTTTTATTATTGTTGAGAAAATGAACAAGTTGATAGATCAGCTTTACTTTCCACCTACATTTTCTTCATATTTCTAGGAAAAAAAAAAGAAAAACACTGACAGCCTTCTTGAAATCTGAGTCACATGTTTATCCATGTCTGTCTGTCTCTAGTCTGGCTGTACTGGTAAATGATGTCATGGCTAACTCATTCCAAAACTTCAAAAAGTTATGCAGCCATCAAAAATGATGAGTTCGTGTCCTTTGTAGGGACATGGTTGAAGCTGGAGACCATCATTCTCAGCAAACTGACACAAGAACAGAAAATGAAATACCGCATGTTCTCACTCATAGGTGGGTGTTGAACAGTGAGAACACGTGGACATAGGGAGGGGACCACTACATACTGGGGTCTATTGCGGGGAGTAGGGGAGGGACAGCAGGGGGTGGGGAGTTGGGGAGAGAGAGCATGGGGAGAAATGCCAGATATAGGTGAAGGGGAGGAAGGCAGCAATCACACTGCCACGTGTGTACCTATGCAACTATCTTGCATGTTCTTCACATGTACCCCAAAACCTAAAATGCTATTAAAAAAAAAAGTAACAAACCAAAAAAAGTTAACTTTTATTTGCTCACTGTCCTACAAATAAAATGCATGTGAGTGATATCCAGCTCCACCTAGTGGTGAGGATCCTGTTCTTTTGATAGTTCTCCAGCTTAAAATCCTTTAGTGGTTCCTGTAACCTTCAGGACACAAATCCTGTTTAGCACAGGTGATCTTGCCTCTGCTTTTCTCTTTCAGTTCATATAGTTTGCCTTCCACCTCAAGCTTTATGGTTCTGTTATATTAAACGATTGGAAGATCCCAGTTTCTTGATTGCCATGGTTTCCCAAATCTGGAATTTTGTACATGCTTTCTTTTACTTTAGTTGCCTGTTATCCTCCACCTCACAAACCTACACCCACATGCACACACACACGGCATCTTCATTGCTCCGGTAGTACCCAGTGTGCATTTATCAGAGTACACACCATACTATGTTGTCAGGGTGTCCTTTCATTACACTGAGCTCTATGGGATCAGAATCTGCTCTTTTTATCTGTTTCCAGCAACTAGCCCCAATGCCTGGGTACAAATAGGCATCCAAAAAATGAATGAGTAATGCAAAAACGTCCTTAGGTAAGTTGGTAGTTGAATTAAGTTATAGTGGGTTTACATTTTAATGGGATTTGATTGTTTCTATTCTGAAAGAATGTATGTGAGGAAGGCAACAGCCTAGCAGATTCAGGAAGGCAAATTTGCCAGCAGCTAAAACTGCTTGGGTTATCAGAAACTGCCAGTATATCTGGGACTGAAGGGCTGCTGAGTGATTTGTAACTGTGTTTGCGTCAGTTCTTGGTTGGGCTAGAAAGCAGAAAGAAAAGATACTGAAATGCTATTTTTATGAGACTTAGGTATTACAGTGTTGAGTTAAGTGGATCAATGAAGGTGTAGTTATTATATCAGCTTCCCTCTGTTCGTAGAGCTAGGGGCCAGGCTGAGGCATGGGCAAGAATCAGTAAGGCAGACAGACTAAAAGGGAATTCAAGGAAGAACAGAAAATTGTGAGGCAGTGACCAGAAACCTGTTTGGTTGTACTGTTCTTTGTTACTATTATTAGTTTTGTAATGTTAGGCAAGTTACATAATTTCTCTGATTCTTGTTTTTTTTTAAATCTGTAAACTGAAGGTCTCATCTACCTACTTAAGACTACATCTATAGTGCCTATCTTGTGGGGTTAAGATTAAATAGATCATGGTTTATAGTAAGTACCCAGTGCCTGTTAGTTATCATAGTATTATTATCTGTCTATAGGTTGTAAAAAGGTCAGATTGAGAAGATCTCTGAAGTTAGGGACCATACCTATCTTCTTCACTATTGTGTCTCTAGCACTTGGCATGTGCATGGAAGCTGTTTAGCAAATGTTTGTTGAATTACTAATGAGGGTGATCAGGACAGGCTTTTAGAGATCTCTGAATTTGTGCTTTTTCTTAGAATGTCTCTCTCAGATGAAGCCATTTCAGTTCTACTTCCTGATGCCTGAGCTCTGAGTTTTCTCAGCATATCTTTTGTTACTTATTTGGACTATAGCAAGGAAACAAGCATAAATCATAGCATTATTGGGTCTCATGTTATGAAGGAGGTGGTATCATGTTAACATTTGAATCCCCAAAGACGAAGCCAGCAGTACATCCAAAAGAGAAGTTTCTGAACATTTATTCCATAGTCATAGAAACTGAAGATGGAAAAGACCTGAGGACATCTAATCCATCCATGTGGTTGTACAAGAAAAGTGGCTGGAGCAAAACAGCCCGTTCACTTCATGCTCACAAGACAGCATTTCCGTTCTTCCTGGAGCGGAGGGATTGCAAACACATTAAAATGAAGACACAATGCAAATACTCTTCACAAACCTTAAGAAAATACTTATAAGTACACTATTTTCATAAAATGATTAGTAACTAAACTAAACAAAGAGTGAGGGAATCCTGGAATAGATGGGTAGTGTAGGTGGGTAAAGAAAGGAATAACTTAACAGTATAGATAGTAAAGTAGTATTAATGACTAGAAAGCAATTTCTGAAGAAATGGTTGGATTTTCTGGTTTTCCTATCAAAAATATGAGTTGGGAGATAAAGAGGCTCTAGTTTCTTTCCCCTTTATTCTTTACCCATACCAAGGAAGTGCTTAATTTGCTCCAAGGCTCTAACAGACACAGCACCAACACTGAGAAGTCTGTTACCCAGATGATAAAGTCTGTTCTGCTTGGCACTTGCTCCACTTACCACTTCTCTGGCTGGAAGGGAAGCTGCAGCTCCTGATAGGGTTTGTGCAATAGCAAGATTCATGAATGATGGAGAGTCATCTCCAGGCACATAAAAGACCTCGACTGCTTGGGTCCCTGTGGCTGCCTCACTTGGCTGTCCTGGTTATTCTTCCAACTTGTTTTTAAATTTTGGGGGATTCCCCTTTCTCCTCTACCTGGAAGCATATATACTCTGGGGCCTTTATTATTCTTATTTACATGAACCAGGTAGCTGTATCTGTTCCAGCTCACCTGAGCATGCTTTACTATGTGCTTTCTGTGCCAGAAATTCCCCTTGGAAAACAGGGTTGGGGTATGTGGCACAGTGTGTCATAGTCAAGATTTCCCAGCACCAGAGCTTGGTAGAGAATGGAGGTCTTCTTGATCTCATTAAATGGGAGCTGAGGAGAAGAAGCAAGGTAGCATCTCTTATCTCTTCTTTACCAGAATACCACTCTCCATCTGAAGGCTTCTGATCTTTGTGTGTGTGTGTGTTTTTTTGAGCCTGAAAGGTGTTGAAAGAACAAGAGTTGGAGCTGAACAGAAAGGAGGTTTCCAAGGATCCACCATTTCATGACATCATTTTACAAAACACAATACACTGTTTCACAAATTGCAAAACACTGTTCAATTACTACTGATAAAAATAACCATTGCTACTTAACATGAAGACTGCTTCGTTTCACCACAAGCAATTATGGTTTTTTTCATTTAGAACATAGAGGCATTTCAAGCAATGTGGATGGCAGTAAGCCTGCCTTCAGCCCCTTCTGCTGCTTGCTGCATCCTGGCCAGTGTGTTGGCCAGCTAGTTCCTCCAAAGATGTTTGAGGAGCCTGCATCGGTCAAATACTTTGTGGATAGGCAGGGTGATCTGGCATGTGATCCGCCACTGCTCAGAATGCCTCAGTAGAGAAGCTTAAGGTAAACCCGATATACAAAAATTCAGATTTACAAAACAGATACATTAAGGAATAATTAACCGCATTACAAAAGAGTGCTTTACTTTACAAAAGGATTCACCTCTGGGTTCCCTTAAATAGCCAGCTTCTCAAATACAGTCAGAATATGAGCTGAGTTACAAAAATGTCCATGTACATTAGGAGCATGGCTGTAATGTGAACTGAGGTACACTTGTACATCAGCCTTCTGGGCTGCACAGAGGTTCAGGGGCACACAGAGCATGGTGGCAGAGTCTCCAGCATCCTTAGTGTTGCAAATGGGTAGGGATGGCTAAGGGGCAAAATCTTCCAGAGGCGGCTGCAAATCATAGCATTATTGGGTCTCCTGTTATGAAGGAACTGGTATACAAAACTACTGGGCCTGGGGTGAGAAGGTGAGGGGATCGGGTATTTCAACACAGATTTGGCTTTTTCTGTTTTCAGGGCTCACCTGTTTCCTCATTATTGAACTGTTTCATCTGTGGGGTTGGTGACCTCTGACTTCAGAGCCCTCCCACATCCATATCAGGATGCTTGAGTCTATCTCCACTCCAGGGTTTTCTCAGCCAGTTAATCACTAGGTGTTACCTAACTACAGCTTAAGTTGTTACCTTTCCCTTGGGGACTGGGTAGCTTTTGGTGGAAGTGCAGACATTTCATCCAATAGGGGGAGAAGTTTTGTGATGCAGCCACCTTTCCAGTGATCTGCAGCTGTAAAAGAGGAAAGTGCTTGGCACAGCTCCTGAACTGTGTAGGATGTAGGCATCCAAATTGATTGGGGCGGGGGGTGGAACAATGAGTCCTGAGAAGATAAAGCAAGTAATTAAGGAAGTCTTATCCTAAATGGTGCCCAGGGGTGGGGGTGAGGATGTGGAAGGAGAATCAGCAGATGTGTGCTGAAGTTATAAAAAAAAGAAACAACTTTCAAATAGGTTTTCTCTTCATGCTTCTCCTCATGCTTGTGGGCAGCCAAACTTCCAGAATGGTGTTTCTAGAAGAGTGATTTTTAGACCACCCATGTCAGTCACCTGGGGATGTTGGTTAACATTGGGTTTCTTTTTTTTTTTGAGACGGAGTTTCGCTCTTGTTACCCAGGCTGGAGTGCAATGGCACGATCTTGGCTCACCGCAACCTCCGCCTCCTGGGTTCAGGCAATTCTCCCGCCTCAGCCTCCTGAGTAGCTGGGATTACAGGCATGTGCCACCATGCCCAGCTAATTTTTTTTGTATTTTTAGTAGAGACAGGGTTTCACCATGTTGACCAGGATGGTCTCGATCTGTTGACCTCGTGATCCACCCGCCTTGGCCTCCCAAAGTGCTGGGATTACAGGCTTGAGCCACCGTGCCCGGCCCAACAGTGGGTTTCCGAGCTCACCTCTAGACTTCCACCCCTGACCCCATAATCTCTGGAGAAGGGTCTCGGCAATCATCACTCTGATGAGTTCTGTACTAGATGACTCTTACCTACATTGACATTTGAGAACTGAATTCTACAGTTCCCATATTCCTTTCCCTTGCTACCTAAACATCATATGCTGAGAAAGAGATGCCTAAGCAGAGGGGAGCTTACTTATATCAGTCTTTAGGGAACATTAGATGAGGCTGGAGTATCATTAGAGTAAAATCTGTTCACAGCTCCTCAGAGATGAGTAGGTATGAGGATGGGGATTGACCTGATGATTTTCTATACAGATATGCAAAGCACAGGGCAGATTCCTGAATGGCTGAAGCTTGTGGAATACCCAGGCTGGAGGTTTTGGGATTTCTATGCTAAGAGATGGGTGACTGCTGATCTGGAAATGGCCTAGTGTGTGGTGTGTACAACATTTCACCCACAGTGTCACATATTCTATTATAGGCAATAAGCAGGGATATTCCAGATCCGACCTAAGGCCACAACCTTGCTTTGCTTTTCTTTCTTTTCCTTTATAAAAGGCACACACCATAGTGGAGATGCTTAGTTACATTAGAAGTGGTCTCATTCATTTTTTAGCCAATTGCTTTTCTGGCCCACAGCTTTTGTTCTAAATGCGTGGTATGCATTTTTAATGCCTCGTCTGCCTGTCTTCTGTTCCCGCTTACCACTTCCCCGTCCCCTTTCACAGTGGCATGTAAGCATGTTCTTACTAAACGTTAGTCAAGATGGAGTCAGCGATCCAGAACCTTCTCAAAAACATGGCTCTTGCCTGGTCCAATCAATCCTTGACCTTTGTGATACCAATGAGTTAACTTTTAAGTACTCCATCCCCAGTGGGAGGTACTCTGCTCTTACCTGCTCCCCATTAGACATAAATCTAGATTGGGGAGTTGTATCAAAAGCTACAACCCTGGATAATCTTGTTCTGTGTTACAATGAAAGCCAACAACCCAGTAAGACATAAGTATGAGTAACAATTTTATCTCTTGTTGGTAGTGCAGAGAAAGGGCTAAAAACCAGAAATACTACTGTGGCACCTGGTAAAAAGGATAACGGAAGCTGGAGTTATCTGGTTATTCACAGATCCCTCACACAGAGATTACTCCTGACTAAGATTCTTGATAGAAAAACACTTCTACCCTGGTGACCTAGGGAGTGAGCTTGAGAGGAGCTGCTGCTGCTCTTTAGGCTAGGGAGAACAGACTTGACCTCTAAGAAAACCTAGACCACAGCTTCCCCACACCTTTGTCAGTAGTTAGAAAAGAGCATTACAAAGTGTCTCAAGGGCTCAGAGGAAGGTCAGGAACCGAGAAAGGGGAGCAGTGTGGTCACCTAGGACTCACAAGTCCGACTTGTCCTTTGATACTCTTCAAGCTCCGTTTTCCTGCTCACAGCCAGCTGCAGCTCCTGGCGAATCACCTGAATCTGCTTCTCTAGCTCTGAGAGTTCCTGCATCACTGAGTTCCGAGATATATTTAGGGAGTCTGCTTTCCCATTGGTGGTCAGTGAGGCAGGGAGCTCTCTTCTCCTTGAAGGGAGGGGGATGTCCTGGTGGGTCCGGATGCCCAGCTGGTTTTGTCCTTCCTCATCACTAAAGATGTATTTTTGTCGGTTGTCATGACTCAGATTGGAAGTATTCCATACAGTGAGCTGACGGGGTCCCACAATGGACCTAGGAAACAGAGAAATTTTAGATTTACTTTCCATTCTGCAGCTCTCAAGTTGCTGTTCTTTATCTGTTAGCCATTTCCTGTGTCAGTAATATGGAGCTGGGTGTGCATTTACAGATGAAGTAACAGAGCCTTGGACAGACTACCTGCTAAGATGTCATGGGGCAACAGGAGTCATGAACATTTAAAAGTTCAAGTCTGATGCCGCTCTGAAACGAATGGGGTATCTTCTGAAAGGCTGATAGGATGGAATATGGCACATTTTTTGGTGGAAAACCTCAGGTGACTTTTAATTTTCTTTCTGCAAGGGAAACTCAGGAACCAGCCCCAGCTTGAAACATTTTATGGTTTGAAAGATGATGCTTTAATAAAAGCGAAATTTGTTTATTCATTTGTTGGGTTTTAAGCATCAGCCTGCTTAGATCTCATAACATGGCTCATCCTTAGTCCCACAGGACCATCCTGATATTTACTACTTGATTTTGGGGAGAATGAAAGCATACAAGCCACAGGTTTTAGCAAAGTGTTTCTTACTATAGGGATGATTTTTATGTGAGTTGAGAATGACAGGTTAGGTCTGATGCTTAAAAACATCCCAAGAAGGGAGGCTAAAGTGGGTGGATCATGAGATCAGGAGTTTGAGACCAGCCTGGCCAACACGGTGAAACCTTGTCTCTACTGAAAATACAAAAGATTAGCTGGTCTCAGGTGGCTGAGACAGGAGAATCACTTGAATGCAGGAGGCAGAGGTTACAGTGAGCAAGGACCATGCCACTGCACTCCAGCCTGGGCAAGAGAGCGACTCTGTCTCAAAAAAAAAAAAAAAAAAAATCCCAAGAAAGCCCTCAGTTTCTTGATAAAATAATGAAAGTCATATAGAAAGCAATTTGCAATCCTGTTTTGGGCTTGCATCATATCACTTACTACCTAGATGGCATGAGAGTTATTGCCAAATAGTCACAGGAGGAGGCTGATCCTGTTTCTGAAATACACTCTGAGACTTATGTGATAAGAAGAGTTTCTCACTACAAGAACAGATTAGAGCCCTAAGCAGCTGAGCTGCTGATATTTTCTACCATAGGAGAAGAAGCAGGAGGAGGAGAAGGAGGGCTATGACCACTTTTGCAATCTACCACAGGACAAAACTACATGAAAACACCCTACCAAGGCTTTGTGTCTTTGTTCCCATCCATGTAACTGAATTGACTTTTTTCCTGGACTCTTATTTGCCCAGAGAAGGGGACAATCTGGAGGGAGAAGGGGAAAGAGAATAAATAATAAAGTATTGATGTAAAAGTGGCCATAAACCTTCTTTTCTCCTTTCATCTCTGCCCTCTGTAATGTGACTTTGCAGCTCGTACTTATGCTGAATCTGCTTCCTTTCTCCCTTGAGTTTGGCCAACAGAAAGTAGCAGGCGTGTCAGAATGGCAGTTCCAAGCCTAAACTTTTAAGAAACCTTGCACATTTCTACTCTCTTGGAGCCCCTCTGCTGCAATGTGAACAAGTCCAGAATGGCCTGCTGCATGATACTAGGCAATATGGAGAGAATCCTCAGGCTTCCCAGTTGATCCAGCTGAGGCCATCATAAACCAGACAGCCCTTAGATGCTTTTCCCTCCCCTCAAGTTGGCTACAGACGTATGAGCAAACCCAGCCAAAATCAGGCAAGTCTGGCTCAGATCAGCAAATGGCACAGCTGATCCATAAATTAATAAGCAACTTGATCTTGTTTAAAACATTAAATATTGGGATGATTTATCACATAGCAAAGACCAACTTATACATGCCCTGAGTTATCGAAACATACACTCCAGACCACTCTGTGGTCACCCTCATAGGGCATGGGGTGGGTAAAAGTTCTGTAATGAACCCACTTATAGCTCTATTGGCTTTAAACCTGAATCAGAGAAGGATATAATTTTCCTTCTAGCCTTATAATTCCCTTTAATTTTTTCTTCAAATCTTTTCCTATTGAATTTAATAATCTCAAAGTAATTTTGGTTGTGCTGTTTTATAGTTTGTAATTTTTGTGTGTTTTGGGGTGAGAAGACAGGGGAAAGGGGGATGATGTGTATTGATTGGGAACCCAGTGAGATGAAAGATAAACCTAAAACTTACATGAAATCACATGCTGAATAAACCCAGGGCTATATATAAATAGTCTCCTGCGAGATGTACCTTATTTTATCTTCCTCAAATAAAAAAGGAACAATACCTACTTCTATGGCCCCAAATTTCTCCAAGCATTTCCTCTATCTCATGTTAGTAATTCATTCATTTATCTATCTGCTCTTTTATTAGTTCAGTAAATATGGAGCACAGGGGAGGGATGTCAAGTTGTAGCAGGCATGAACATTTGTATAGATATTCTTCCAGGAGAAGCGGGAGAGTGCATTCAAATACCATACAATGGTTCATAGCAGGGAAAACCTCAGAGTGAGGCATCTACACATTTTCTTTTCTTTTTTTTTTTTTCAGACGGAGTCTCACTCTGTCACCCAGTCTGTCACCCAGGCTGGAGTACAGTGGTGCCATCTCGGCTCACTGCAACCTCTGCCTCCTGGGTTCAAGTGATTCTCCTGCCTCAGCCTCCCGAGTAGCTGGGATTGCAGGCATGTGCCACCACGCCCAGCTAATTTTTGTATTTTTAGTAGAGACAGGGTTTCACCAATTTAGCCAGGATGGTCTCGATGCCCTGACCTCGTGATCCACCCGTCTCGGCCTCCCAAAGTGCTGGGATTACAGGCGTGAGCCACTGCGCCCGGCCGCATCTACACATTTTCTTTGACTGTCTAGGCAAAAGTAAAGTAAGGTAAGTAAGAAGACCAGCTGGACTGGTCTTCTGCAGAGCTTTGTATATTTATCTGGTAATATAATACAGAGGAATTAAACGAAAGCTAGATTTTGTGCCCAGTTCTAGTTGCTAGCATCACCAGGCCTCTGGTATTTGATGTGTGGCTCTAGGGTACCGATGACTGCAAGGTAACAAATGCTGAGAGTAAGACTCAGTGTCTACTTGGAAAATATAACCCAAGGTGGGTGTTATACTCTTAGCTTCGGTAACATTTAGGCTTTGCTTTGATTGAAGCCTTCTTCAGTCTTAGAGTGTTAGGTAACTAGAGAATGAGCTGTAATCCCAGCACTTTGGGAGGCTGAGACGGGTGGATCATGAGGTCAAGAGATTGAGACCATCCTGGTCAACATGGTGAAACCCCGTCTCTACTAAAAATACAAAATATTAGCTGGGCATGGTGATGAGTGCCTGTAATCCCAGCTACTCAGGAGGCTGAGGCAGGAGAATTGCCTGAACCCAGGAGGCGGAGGTTGCGGTGAGCCGAGATCGTGCCATTGTACTCCAGCTTGGGTAACAAGAGCGAAACTCCATCTCAAAAAAAAAAAATTGGGTAAAATAGGCTTCCCTGGAGCAATTATGTAACACTGGACTATTCCAACAAGACATGACAGCTATGGGACCCCAAACACTCATAGTGTTTTTGACAGGTTGCTAATGTTGGGTTGTGTAGAGGTAAGCACAGGAAATGTGAGCCCAAGATAAACCATGAGTGAATGTTCTCCTCAGCTCCTCAAAATAAGGGATTCAGGAAGGGACTCTGCCAAGAAAAGTGGGTAAGTTGAGTCAAAAGATAAGTGGTTTTCAATTTACATAAGAAAGATGTGAATATGAATCATATCACAGTTGGAGATGGAATCACTGGGCTTCCTGTTTCTATACTAGCTGGAAAACAAGTATTTTGTCATTGTAAGATGATACATTTGTTGCTATGTCTTCTTGTGTCACTGTTATTAAAAATTTCTGCTAAAAATAGAAAAAATAGATGTAACATGACATGACATGAAACAGCTGTGATAGGATTAGTATACAGCTTGTCACTAACAGACTTGCAATATGATGCAGGAATACCACAGACTGAGAGGGGCTGGGGGAGTGCTCATTGACTGGAAAGAGACTTTAAGAGATAAAGGAAATGATTCTGACAAGATAGATGCAAACTGGATAGAAGGGGACTACAGCAGTCCCAGAGGAGATACAAAAAATGAAAAAGAATCCTGTTTTTCCATCCCTTTTCTTCTGTTAGAGAGGTGTGAATGTCAGATTTCAAAACTAGAAAGCCAAGCTTTGAGCTGAGGATATGTCATAAGGGACAGAGTTGCTTGGAGCTGATGCCCTCATCTGAGGCCTCTGGGCATATGAAAGAACCAGGAGGGTTGCCTTAGGTGGCAGGCAGCAGAGACCAGCCAGGAACCAGACCCAAGTGCTTCTGACATCTCTAGTCACCATAGACTAGGGAACAGTCATCCACAGCCTGGTGTGGTGAAAGTGAGGAGCTTTGATTTTCAGTTGTCATCAATGAATTTAATGCTTGGATTTCCTACTAATAAGATGCTCTTTGCTAGAGAGTTTGTAGAAAAGTGCCAGGAAATGAATTAGGCAGGACATGTCTGTATTGTATTCCCAATACTCTGTTCCCAGGAATGCTAGAATGGAGTAGGGAGTGAAAATATGCCAAAAAGACAGTAAAACATGGAATTAATTACCTGCGGTACTCATTAATTCTTACATATATTCTGTACATAATAATAGCTAATATTTATTAGGCATTTCCTTTTGTTCAGAGATTTACATGTATTATCTATCTCATTTAATCTTTACAACTGTAGGAAATAAGTAATGTTTTTATCTCAACTTTACAGATGAGGAACCTGAGGCACAGAGAGATTAAATAAATGACTTATACATATCATAAGTCTTGGAGACAGGATTTGGATCCAGAAAGTTGATCCTAGAGTCCGTGGCTACACTTTTTACCATGACAGTATATTGTGTACATTGCATTTTAGTGTCCATGTACATTTTTAATTTTGTGTCTTATTTCTTTCTATCTATAGTGATTCTGTTGATTGACAAATTGTCCTGATTTGATCTGAATAGTTATTTATACAGTTACATCTTCTAAGTATTATTTTATAAATGTAAAGACAGTTGCCATTGGCCCCTTCTTACCTCTTTTCCACACGTTTGGCCTTGAAATGCTTCTGTTTTTCCTCTACAAATGATGTGTTTAGTGCTCTGTGTAATCTCTGGCAGAGAGAACAGATTCCCAGGTAGAAATTATGAGAAACACATAGGTCAGGGGACAAACAACCACTTGAGATTTAATGGTATGTGTAGTTGGTACAAACTTTGGCCTCTTTAAATAAATTTCTAGGAATGCCTAAAAATAGGGCAACATTTAGCCTCAAATCTCAAGAGAACAAAAATTATAATTAGAGGTTATTATTCCGCCTGGAGAAACAAAACAGGGATCTGATAGAAAGCTCAGTATTATAAAATGGTATGTGATATAAGGAGGCACAGTCATAACTAATGTGTAGCAAAAGGCCTTCCATAATTGCTAAAGATGAGTAGAAAGTATAAAATTCTTGACAACCAAAGAAGGGAAGGAGGACTCTTGAGAATTAAACTAATCCTATTAGCATACAATAAGGAAGATCTGAGGAGTTCTCCTAGAAGACCAAATACTTCCCAGGTTGATAGTAGGAAGAACAGGGTTCAACTATAACAAAACCAATGACAGTAACCTATCTAGAAAAAAAGAAGTGTTAACAAAGCGAGGAGGTTGGCATGAGGGTGTATGAATACGTGACTGGAGTAAATGCAGAAGAAGTGATAGCCTCCCTGCTGGGAGGTAATCCATGGTACACTGGGGGGCAGGAGGAGGTCTCACCACAGGAGAGACCAGGATGGCTCATCCAGCCTTTCAGGTGAAACCACTCCCTTTGTTAGAGTTCCTCCAGCATTATGAAACCTTCTGACTATATTTTGGCTCTCCATGCCAATTTCCTTTAGGGAGAGGTGTGCAAACGAGTGTGCTTGAATTGCCAGTCTGCTTGACAGTTTCACTTCTCCCTATAAATCAGTGTGTTGATGTCTAGATTACAGGAAAGAACTGCGGCCTTTGAAGCTTGGCCTTGGCCCCAGTGGGCCTCAAACCTCTCTAGACCAGGGACAAAGCAGAGAGAACAGGGACAAGTGGGGTCACTTAACCGGGACCAGGGACTTCAAACTCATTTATTAGGTTTCAGTTTTGGCAAGAAAAGAACCTAAGAAATAAATCTTTCACTCCATCTTTTCAGACTGTCACTATCAAGTGAAACCCAGTTAAAGAAAGTTCTATTGCTTCTATGATGAGCAACAGTGGAGGGTTATAGGTAAGGAGGGGGCACTGTGGGATAGTTTAATTTAAGGGAAATGTGAATTAATGTGATAGAGAGGATTGCTTCTTCTATAATGAGAGTGCCTACCCCACCCTCGTTGTTGTGGTAACATCACTTATCAGTCTGACATAGGGTTCTGGAACCTCCCGTCACTAGGAATTCTACAGTTTAAGAATATTGGAGCAAGACACTGGCGACACTCACCTGGCTGGTGTGGAGCCAGTATTGCAGCTTGGATTTGTTTTTGATTCGTGGTAGCAGCAGCCTGTATACTATGTGCTCACCAATGGTGGTCAAGATGGAGAGACCAAATCCAATGCACAGCAGCACGAAGAGTCCAGAGAAGTGTTTGATGCCCATTTGCAAAGTCTGTAACAGAACAGCAAAGAAAAGGCTATGAATGCAATGAGATACCTGGCCCAATGCTTGTGTACTCTTTTTGGTTTCAGATGGATATTCATTTTTTTCTGGACTCAAGGAAAGCTGGAGACTTTCTTCTTATGTGTTCTGTGACCTTCATTTTACATTGTGAAAAAATTCAGCCAGTGTTGGACTGAGGGCTCCCAAGAAGTACCCAATTCCTAGGGTGTGAGAAATAAAAATAAAATTCAAAGCTCTCCAAGTGGCTGAACAAACTTTCTCTTGTCCAAAGGGACCCTGGAGAAACCTTGGAAACTGAGTTCCTGGCCTTGACAGGGTGGGAGGTCTGTCATGCCTCAGTATGCCCCTTCCTTATTAACCTTTAGCCATAATTCATTCTTAAGAAGTAAGCAGAAACTAGCTCTGGAAAACAAGAACTGATAATTCATTGCTTTATCACCTTTAGCTAATAATCTGAGGCTAGATTCTCCTTCCCTTGCAGTTTCAGTGTGACAGCTCACCAGTCACAATACACCCTTCCCAAAAAATGATCACAATCTTCAGATGGTTTTGGCCAACTTGTGGAGGATGCACAGTGAGGGTTTTCATGTCCTCCGCTTCACATTTGGACATCAGAAGACCAAAAACTCCACCCTCGGGTCATGCTGATGCCTCCATTCTTTGAACATGGGGCTCATGAAGAGGCATGAAGCTCAACTGCACACGTGCATGTATAGCTTTTTATAAATATTTATGACTCCTCCTATAGCTTATTCAATACGTATACTCAGCCACCCCATTCAGCATAAATTCCTGTTCTCATTTACCCCTCCCTTGAAGTGCTTGCTCTCAGCTTCTGCTGAGGCTACGCTTCCCAGTCTGCAGGATGGCTGCCCTGCTGGCTGCAACCCTTTATGAGAAAGAAATCCTGTCCAAATTTATGAAGCTCGTGATTCTTCAGTTGACAGGTGCTATTCATATGTTAATCCCATTGTGCGAATAGCCCCTGGAGTCTTAAGATATATATATATATATATATATATAGAGAGAGAGAGAGAGAGAGAGAGAAATAATTGAAATAATTTAGTTGAATCAAGGAAGGGACCTCCCACAGGGGCAGAGAAGTAGTAGATTTAAGGGGGAAAAGATGGTGAGTTCAGTCACTGAAATGTAGATCTGGTAGGGAACATGGAAATCATCTAGTTCATTTTTACAGATGAGGAAAGTGAGACCAGAAAAATGCAGTAAACTGAGCCAAGTAACAAAAATAGAGAAGGAACCTATAATAATTATTGGTTGCTTACTTTCTGCCAAATGTTTTACATTAAAATAGATATTATAACCTCAATTTAATAACTAAGGAAAGTGGAGTTCCTCCAGCTTTTAAGTGGCAAAGTTGGTCTTTCAGTCCACTTCTGTTCCACTCCAAAGCCTGGGCTCTTTCTGCTATACTGCTCTACACCAGAACAGCAGCAGTTTATGGCAACAATAGTAGGTATAGTAAATATATGTGGCCAGAACTTTACTAAGTGATTTGTATAGATTATCTAAGAAAACCCTCACATGTACTCTAAAATGGCCATTATTTAGCCACTATTTAGACATCAGTGATAAGGGTAAACCCTGTAGAAGGAAAAACATTGAATATATTGAGTTTATACTTATGTGCCAGGGACTCTTCTGAGTGTCAAGGGATGGAGATAGAAGGAAGTTGTATCTTTCCTTTTAAGCAGCTCGAGTCTAGGGAGAAAACAAGTGTATACCTTCATGATACGTTTGATTTACACTTCCTGGGATTTGTGGGGAAGACGGCTCATGAGATAACATTTGAATAAAAGACGCAGGATGGGGAGGTGGGGTGGGGAACGTGGACATACTAACCTGGAGGTAGCATAAACAAAGGAAAAAAGACATGACTTTCCTAGACAGTGTTGTGAAACTGACTGCTGTGGCTGAAGGGAGGGTACTCAAGGTATGAATAGTGCCATAATTTGAATGTATGTGTCCCTCCCAAACTCATATGTTTAAACTTAAACCCCAAGAGTTGGTACTAAGAGCCCTCATGAAGGGATGGATGAGTGTCCTTATAAAAGGGCTGGAGGAAGCTCGCTAGTCCCTTCTGTTGCCCTTCCACCCTTTCACCATGTGAGGACACAGCGTTTGTCTCCTGTGGAGGACAAGCAGCAAGGTGCATCTTGGAAGCAGAGACCAGGCCCTTACGAAGATACGAAACTTGCTGGTGCTTTGATGTTGAACTTCCAGCCTCCAGAACTGTGGGAAATACACTTCTCTTTCTAATAAAGTACCCAGTTTCAGGTATTTTGTTGTAATGGCACACACGGACAAAGATATTTAGTGAAAGAGAAATGGCCACACTGGGCAAATCCTCAGATGCTGTGCTAAGGAGCCTGGATGTAGCCCTTGGCTGGAAGCTTTTGGTCATTATTATTGAAAATTATTTAGCATTTAATATGTCTAAGGCACAGTTCTGAGCACTTTATCAATGTAGCAACTTGCCTAATCTTTCTGACAATCTATAAGGTAAATAGTGGTATAATCTCCATTTTGTAAGGGCAGAAAGTGAGCAACAAAGAAGTTCAATAACTTGTCCAAGGTCACAAGGCTGGCAAAGATTAGAGCTGGGATATTCAAACCAATGCAGTCTGTTTTCAGAGCCTACAGTGTTCACTGCCTCATTTGTCTGATGTGAACGATCATCCTGTTCTCTTTAATGCTCTTTCCTTTCATTCTCCCTACCTCTGACCCACCTTGATCCTGGAGAAACAGCCAGCCAGGCATGATTCAGGCATGGGTTGCATAGGGAAGTCTATCTGGAGGTCAGGACTCAAGGGCAAAGCTTGGAGATTTCAGGCTGACTCAGGAAATCTCTTTCCCTCTATGCCAGTGCTGCAGGCTATGAATCAAAGACCAGTGTTAGGGTCTCTAGAAAAGAAAAGACTAAAGCTGAGCAGGGGCTCGGAGCAGGTACCAGCTCTAGAGACTGGCACGAGGCACAAAAACCAGGCAGATGACCTGGGAATGTAGGCTGAAGCCCAGCCCCAGGAAACAAGGAATGCTATTCTGGAAAAGGCTTTGGTAGGGAAGCACACTGACCCCTAGAGCTTCAGAGGTACTAGGGATTTTCCTGCGACATCTCTGTGCAAATGGTGACCAGCTGCATAAAGCTGACATGCAGAAAGTACATACAAATGTGTCTGAAAATAGTCCTTGGTCTAGACCTATTTTAATGTGTACAGGATGTGGCTACTATATGAAGAATTCAGCGAGTTATTGCTGCGGATTAAGAACAGACTGGGAAAATTTATTTTGGACTTTAACATCATCAAACATTCAGTTAAACTCTGAGCATATGGGCACTGCTTTTTTATAAGACACTGCCAAGATGAGGAAGAAAAATGTAAATTGCAGTGAGTCATCTTGCTTTTAAAGACATGGTTCCCTCTGTTTTCTTGTGCATAACAATAATTAGTCTTATTTTTCTCTTAGTACCTCAATAACAAATAGACTGTAGTCAGTTTATATTATACATTTTTTTTCTTTTTTCTTTTTTTTTTTTGAGACGGAGTTTCACTCTTGTTACCCAGGCTGGAGTGCAATGGCACAATCTCGGCTCACTGCCTCAGCCTCCTGAGTAGCTGGGATTACAGGCATGCACCACCATGCCCAGTTAATTTTTTGTATTTTTAGTAGAGACGGGGTTTCACCATGTTGACCAGGATGGTCTCGATCTCTCGTGATCCACCCGCCTCGGCCTCCCAAAGTGCTGGGATTACAGGCTTGAGCCACCGCGCCCGGCCTACTTTTTTTCTTTAAACTTCTGTTGTTTATACCCACATGCTAATAGACTAACAGTAGTTATTGTTTTTAAATTGGGCATTTAATACATATGCCAGATACAATATATGTGAGTCTGGTTGAGGATAGTTGGGTAAGATTGTGTGGTGTAATCATTTTGAATTAAAAAATATATATTTAACAAGAATCATGAAGAGAGAAAGAAGAGATTCATTCAGAGAAACTGGAATTTTTCTCATTAACCAAGACATAGTGAAAGATCACACTTAACAAAAGAAACAGAAGAGGAGGTAATTTATTAATACAAAATCCAGGGAGAGACTGCATGAGCCTGTTAGTAGTGCTCACACACTTGGATAGACAAGTTTTTTGACAGCACTCTCTGCATTCTTGTAACGTGGAAACTGCTTAGTGGTTCATCAACATGGCACTGCCCATGTTGCTGAGGAGATGGTTCTGTCTTTCTGTTTCTTGGGTTTCTTGAGCCCCCAACTTTTCTAAGCTTGGGCAACCATATTTTAGGCTTGAAAATGGTACTTAATCTGCCACATTAGCTCTGTTGTGCAGTTTTGAAAAATGTATTACTAAAACAACTCAGAAAGATATTTTCAAGAATGAAATGTGAGATTATCCATGATCCTGTACTACAAAACACTTTCAATTCTCCATTTTCTCTTCTGAACAATGACCATATGCACACACATTTTTCAGAGTTCTAAACGTAAGATATAACAAGTTTGAATTATACTTTTAAACGAACTTATTTTCTAACAAATGATTTTAATATTAATTTCTAAAAATATTATTTTCTAAATATTATTTTATTTATTAATTTAGTGGCCTAACACTATTACCTATTATTTTTATTATAATTGACTTGACTAATCCCAAACTGTGTTTAATTTTTAAAATATTCTAATTTTTTTATATACAACAAATATTGCTACAATAAAAAACTTTGTGTATACCATTTTTTTTTTCTGTTTTTGAGACACAGTTTTGCCATCTCCCAAGCCAGAGTGCAGTGAAGCAATCTCAACTCACTGCAACCTCTGCCTCTCAGGTTCAAACGATTCTCCTGCCTCAGCCTCCCAAGTAGCTCGGACTACAGGCTTGCACCACAATGCCTGACTAATTTTTGTATTTTTATTAGAGATGGGATTTCACCATGTTGGCCAGACTGGTCTTGAACTCCTGACTTTAAGTGATCCTCCCACCTCGGCCTCCTAAAGTGCTGGGATTAAAGGCATCAGCCAGCATGCCTGGCCATGTATAGCGTTTTAAAATATTTTTCTTTCTTTGAGAGATGTATAGCAATGAGTGAGATTACCTGGTCAAAAGATACAACCATTCTGTTGACTTGTGATGTGTAAAATGACCCGTGAAAAGGGTGGAAGCCATTTCCAATGCCACAAAAGATGCTGCAATGCTCAGGACTTTCTATTTTTGCCAGTTTCTTTTTTATAATTAATCATTTTTTCCTGTTTTAAATATTGTAATTTATATTTATTGAATTAGCAAGACTATTTTTTCCATGTTTGTTTTACCTATCTCCTTTTGTATGAATCATATTATGACTGTTTTTTTTGCACGTATATTTATGCATATCAGACACAGTGAGGCTTTTTGTTGAAAAACCGCTAACCCTTTTGCTAACGTGTTATGTTTCCCCTTTTTTTTATGTTTTCCTGTTATCTTTGTTTTGTTAAACTTTACACAGGTATAATTTATTTGATTACTGTACAATCTTCTACCATTTCGGGCATTAGAAAACATCAATTGCAGGGATAAATAGTTTGTGTCCAGTGTTATATTTTTGAAAAATAGTGAGCACTTCAGTCCGTTTTGAACTTCTGTGCCAAAGAATGTAACTATGTTAATTTTTCTTCACTGAAACTCTTAGTTTTATCTCAATATTTCAGAGGCTCCTTAGTCAATAAAAGGTTACTTCCATCTTAGAGTGGCCTGCATTTCTTCGTACTAATTTAGGTTTTTATTTAAAATCTTCAGATTTAAAAAATATTGCTAATTTTACAAAAGCATTGTGAGAACAAACACCATATAAAACTAATAGCAACAAAAGCAAACATTTGTAGGTCAGAGATAGCCTATGAGTGGTCAGATTATGTCCTCTGATCTACACAGCTTTATTGCTACTATGGTGACCCTTTGGTGTTCTAATTTTTCATTATGATCAGTGAATTCTTGATGATTCATGATTTATAGTTCACAGTCACTGGCCACTGGGTTAGGTATGGTAGTTGACACAGGAACAGAGGAGTCCAGTCTGATTCTCAGTCTAGTGGCCTTGTTCCTCTGCCACTTGTCCCATAATGACACTTTGCCAAGCCTCTTCCTGTTCAAAGTATTCAAAATAGATATAATACCATAGCAGACTAACTAGCTACTCTGTATCTTAACAGAGAGAAAGAATCAGTAGTATAAGTGAATAATGGAATTTATAATTTTTTTTGTACAGATATGAACTACTGATTATAGCTGGTGGGAAGGTTGGAGTTTGTAATTTTTTTAAATAAAAAGTTGTTCTCATTTAAAAAATTTGTATCATTCCTCGGACAGTGGTGTATAAATTTGTAAGTAAAAATATTTCTGGAAGATATTTTTTCTTTGATAATGTTTCTAAAGCATGATACAATATAAACCAAAGCTAAATGGAACTTGCTGAGGCCATATTTCTTTTCTCTGTTTCATCAAGAGTGTAAGTGGTCTGGGGATTGCAACATATGGTAGATTGCAACGTCCATTATCATAGGATTCATAGCAACATAGTGTGACTGATCTCTATAGCCTCAGAGCATATTGGTTTGTGTTACCAGTTTAATCTAAATACTGTCACGCATTTCTCAAGATGAGCCAAAGGTGAAACATGCTTTAAAACTGTCTTGTCTAACATATCTGTTTCATTGCAATACATAGAACCAAAGAGGTGGAGGCTGCTTGTTCTTTGACAAGCAATTTACCTCTTTGGGCTTCAGTTTCATCACTTACGAAAACTGAGACTTGATTTGATTACATAGTTAAGACTATAATAAATAATTTGAGACAGGTAGATATAGGAGCTATAAAAATAAGATAAATGCAGAGAGGTAGAAATAAAGCTCAGGATTTGGGGTCAGAAATCCTGGTTCAAATCCATGCATTGCCACTTACCAGCTGGGTGACTTTGGAGAAGATTCTAGATCTTTACATGGCATCATCTGTAAAGCTGAAATAGTGGCACCAGACTCACAGTGTTGTAATGATGATTAAACGATATGTATAATAAAGGTTGTATCAAAAGCTATGGGACAATTCCTCAATAAATGTTTATTATTATCACCCCAAGAAACTGTATAGAACCAGGTTTGCTGGCAACTGGCAATTAATTGACAGGAAAACAAAGCGTTGTGATTTGGGAATAAATGTGATTCTTTTAATCCAAATATGCAGTCAGATCTTTCTGGTGTTAAATCCAGATACAGGCTCTCAGTTCAAGGTCATTGCCACAAAGCCTTGGGTAACTATCTTAGGTAGACTTATTGGACAATTAACTTGTTCATTCCAGCCACTCCAGAAACTGAAATACGTTTCCTCTCTTTGTTCAATGCAAATATGTAATCCAGCATGTTTCAAACCCTTGGTCATAATTTTAAAATTTCCATATTTTAATGTGCACATTGCAGGCTATATAAATAATGTCTCCCTTTAATGACAATAATGTCCTCTTGGCTAGCATGACTTGTGCTCACTTTTGCCATGTAAAATTGCTCCACAAAAAGAATTAGTTTGGGCTGGAATGAGAGATTTTCTTTTAAAATTTCTCCAGTTCTCAAGTCAAAAAGTTTATTGTCCCCTCTGCAAATGAAGGAGTGGGAGGACCTTGAAAAATTGTTCCCATTGTTTTCTCTCTGGGCTTGGACATGGGCTGGACAGAAATGTCCAGTTAATTTTGGAGTGGGCATAGCTAAGAACTGTGTTCAAAAGCAATCAGTAAGCCTCATGTCTCCTTTGCATATTGGTCTTGTAGAAAGGGAGGAAGCGGGAAGAGAAGGGAATTCGTTGAATGAAAGTGGAATTGTGCTACAGGTGTGTTGCATATCTTTTTGAATCCTCAGAATAACCCTGGCATGGATCCTCTTTTTAATTAGGTGGAAAGACACAGAGAGGCTAATTATTCATGTTCACACAGCTAAAAAGAGGTGAGTGTGGCAACAACACAGTAGCAACTGAATCCGTGTCTGAATCTTTGAACATTGCATAATGTTAACACCACGGGGTTGGGAGTGTTTATCACAATTTTTAGGGTTGCACAGGAATTGAAGGGGCAAGGATTCCTATTTTTGTGGTTCCTAAATCATCTATTAAATAAAAAAGTATATGGTAGGGTGCCTTGGTAGATGGTTTCCCTGCCAGTGATTAAATTTGTGGGCTTTTTTTTTTCTTCTATTTTTGGTCAAGACCGATTGTCAGCTTCTTCCAAATAAAATAGCAATAAATCTCCTTGAAACAGATCTTCCGTGTCCTGAAAAAAGTTACCTGAGTGGTATCCCTTAGCTAAGCAAGTGCAGGGAGAGTATGTTTCATTGTTCTACTGTTTGAAAGCCTAAAGATCTTATATGTGAAGTGGTTCTCTGTGACAAAACGGATTGGGGTGAAGCTGCAGATGCTGGGGCCAGTCCTAACCCTGCTCTTCTGAGGACAGTTCCTGCTCTGTGAACTGACAGTAGTATGTGGGACCTCAGGGAGCGGGTAACATTTGGGGTATAGGCAGTGATGTATTTACTGGTAAACCGATTCTCCAAAACAAAACAAAAACACCTGAAAGATTTTGTTCCTTTCTCACCATGGCCGATCTAAAGCTACCAACATGACAGAAATGAGTAGGAACAGACACATGTATTCTGGATCTCTTCCGAAACCACAGGCTCCAGCACGCCCAATGGTGGAGATCTATTAGGGTGTGAGGACTTCTGCGCTGAATGTTCCATTAGGGAAAAGGCTTCCTGGAATGAGAGAACTCTCAGCTTCTCTACTAGGCCCCAGATCTGATTTTCAAAATCAGCATAGCTAGTGTAGCCAGCATCCACCTCTGCTGTGGAGACACAATTGTCAGTCTCCACATCTCTGAGCAACAGACACAATGCCACTTCAGCATCCCAGGGAGATTCCACTGCAGTCTGAATCTTTACTGCCTCTCCTCCATGGAACAACTGACTAAATGTCCCATTCTCTCCACCTCGGGTAGGGACCAGTGTCAGAGGTGACAGCACATTCCTGGAATGTCCTTGTCCTTAGCTGGAAGTCCCCTTCATTGAATTTAATACTGGAGTGGGCTGCCAACCCTGGAAACCCACTGCCACTGAGGCTGACGGTTAAGCTGGGCGCTTAGTCCAGGCTTAGCATTTCCTATAAGAGCCCTGAAGCTAGTTTCTGTTCAGAAGTTGGAGCAATGACTCAGGAGGAGGCCAAATGAACTCCTACCCCTCAAACATGCACAGCGATTTCTGGATGCATTGGGGGGAGTGGGGCCACAATCTGCCAAAAGATGGGACTTTGTTCCCCCCAAAAAGTGATTACAAGACGCCCAGCAAAGAGAAATATATTTGTTCTTGTTGCTACAATAGGATAGTTAACAATCTGGGAAGATATCCGAGCACAGGCAAATGAAAACCATTCACCTAACCCCTATGCAAATCATAAATTTCCTCCCTTATACCAAAAATGATGAGAAATGACAGCAAAAGTGTGTATTTTATAATTTTTGAACTTTTAAAGTTCTAATTTGGTCTTTGAATCAAAATAAAGGAAAAGACGTTTATAAAAGCCATTTCCCTTTTTTTCCCCATTATGCTCCTTTGACTTGCTCTTCCCCCTGTAGGGTACCTTGAGTCATTCAGAGAAGGAGAAATAATAGCACTGAGCTGGTGATGAAGCTCCTTTTAGGACATGTGGCTTCACAGAGAAATACTTCCAGGTTAAGTCAGAGAGACAGTTGGATGTCTTGAGCAAATCTTGAAAGAGGTAGGGAAGAAAGCAAAAGTTGTTGGGTGGTGCTCATAAGAAAAACGCTCACATGATGAGGACCAGCTTCTTGTGGATCTCGAGGTCTCTGACCACAGCACTGAATTCCTCAAAGGATATCTTCCCATCGCCATCCCTGTCCAGGATGATGATGGTTTTGTCGACCAGCTGCTGGAGCTGCCAGTCCTTCAGGTTGTCACCCACTATCATCTTCAGCACCTGGAAGAGCTCCCCGTTGGAAATGTAGCCATCTTTATCCATGTCGTAAATGCTGAACGCAAACCTCAGCTTCTGCTCCTCGTTGCTCTTGACGCTGAACTGGGAGATCCCCCGGATGAATTCCTTGAAGTCCACCTCTCCATTGCCGTTGGTGTCGAAGACGTCGATCACTCGCTGCACCAACGGGTTGTGGCGCAGCTCCGGCAGGGACATGAACTCCTGCACGCTCAGAGAGCCTGATTTGTCCAAGTCCAACTTCTTAAAGCTCCTGCCCAGCCTTTTGATTTCATCATTGTCAAAGTGGGAGCACATCTCAGCCGGGTAACTGGCCTCGTTTCCCATCGTGGACATCTGGCAACGGCCGGGTCTCGCAGGGTCAGAGGGAGCAGGGGTGGTGCCCTCGGGCAGGGCGCGCGCACCTGGACGGTTGAGCTGTAGGGTGGGGGTAGAGGGCTCCCGGGGGCCCTGGTCAAGCAAAAGGGCAGGGGAGTAGAGTGGGGGTGGCAGGTCAGTGAGGGAGGGGAGGGGGGGAGGAAGGGGGGAAAGGGGGAGGAAGGGGAGGTGGGCGCTGTCTGGACAGGGGTATAGGGAGGAGAGAGTGGAGCCTGGGGGTGCCCAGGAAAGGCAGATGTGGAGAGCTGGACTGCCCCTCCTATTTTCCTTCTCTCAAACTCCTTGTACCTTTCCATGATAACCTCGATTTCCCTGGCAATTATTTTATCTACTTATTTCCTTTTTTTTCCCCTCTGAGAAAGTAAACTTCAAAGGGGAAAGGGTCACATCTGTATTATTCACAGCAGTATCCCAGCAGCACAGTGCTTCACAGGCAAGATGTGCTTAATAAATATATGCCGAACGACTGAACTGCAGCTAAGGACACTGCAAACTTACTTTACTGGCCTAGTGTAAGGACAAAACGAGGTGACACATCAAGGCATTGATAGAGTGTGGTTTCCATGATTCTGGGAGGGGAAGTCAGGGTTGATATCCTTCTGTACCTTTTTCAGGACACAGGATGCAGAGTGTAAGAGACCACGTCGATATCACACAGAATTTCTTATATGCATCACCTACAGGCACTGACACATTCCTGAGGAGTAGAAACAATGCTGAGGAGTAGAAACAATGCTGAATTCATGTTTTCAAGAAGACACAGGTCTCAAGAGCACAGCCTCTTTTACTTTCTTCCCTCCAATCCATCATTTCATGCCCAAGTCACATCTTTGTTGTTGGTGCCTTGAGGCAATTCTACAGAATACTCCGGGGGAATGGTTGCAATGTGCCCAAAGAAGCCTTTTGTGTGTCGAGAGTGACGGTCGCCTCTGGATGATCTCACTTTTCTCCTTTCGTTGCAACTAGATTTGTTCTTTCTGTGGGAGGTGAATCTCACATGCTCCCTCATATTCCTTCTTTTAGGAGCATGTCAGTTACTCCAAATGCATAAGAAACAAATGTGGTTCAAGAGCAAACAGTTCAAAGGGAGATGGGTGAAGCTCAGGGTGTTAAATTGAACTGAAAGAGGCAAACACTCCTTCGCTTTAAAAAATGTTGGCAAGTTCTGTGTTCTTTAGTTCAGCCAAAAGATCAGTCTAAAGATAAGCATGCTGAAATAAGCAAAACTAAGCCACTGACCACCTTATCATTACGTCTGGCTATTTTATTTTCCTCTATAAACAAATGATAATCTATGGACATGTTTTAAAGCTGATGGTGAGTATTACATAAATGAAACCCCTTTTCCCAATTAGACTGTGATATTGGAACTTTTTTTTTTTTTTTTTTGAGACGGAGTTTCGCTCTTGTTATCCAGGCTGGAGTGCAATGGTGTGATCTGGGCTCACTGCAACCTCCGCCTCCTGGGTTCAGGCAATTCTCCTGCCTCAGCCTCCTGAGTAGCTGGGATTACAGGCACGCGCCACTGTGCCCAGCTAATTTTTTGTATTTTTAGTAGAGATGGGGTTTCTCCCTGTTGACCAGGATGGTCTCGATCTCTTGACCTCGTGATCCACCCGCCTCGGCCTCCCAAAGTGCTGGGATTACAGGCGTGAGTCACTGCGCCCGGCCCTGGAACATGTTTTATTTTACTTGATTGCTTTTCAGTTATTCAGAGAAATGAGCAGAGTACAGTTTGGGTACAAACCTACTGAATTTTCAGTGTTAAGGATACCACCTTAAACTATATTACAAGATGCCTAAAGTCAGTGTTGGTCTCTAAATGTTTCCAACCATGTAGTGTATGTTCTTTCTAAAGCACAAAGACCTTTCTGGACTCTCTGGGGAAATATTCAGGCCCTGGAGCTGCAGTTCTGAAAAATCAGAAACCTCAGGCGCAAGGACAGAATTCTATCTTTTGGGCATGCAGTAGGGTCCAGAGTCTCTAGAATTGTGTTATTGGCCTCATCTTGTGTCTTTGACCACAGTGTAGTCCCGCTTCTTGGCTGCAAAAAGAAGCCTCAAAGAAGGCTTCTTCATTTCAAAGAAGCTTAGCACAAAAGATAATTTGTTGGAAGGATCTCGCATAATCAAAAGAAGAGCTGAATGATTCAGTCTTAGAAAGGGTGAGGATCCCACTGGGTTTAAGGAAAACTTGGAACCAAGACTTCAGGACCAGTTATGTAATTTGCAGTGTCCTTTGTTTGAAAATGATTAAGAATTTCAAGATGGCCACAGAGAACATTAAACCAAGTACAGGACCTTATGTGAATGCATGGGCCACATGCCCATGAAGCTGGCCCTACAAGGAGCTGCACCCATTGTCCTCTCTGTACCTTTCACATATGCTTCTCTTTCCTTAACTCCCTCCTATAATAAAGCAATTCCTCCACATTACAGAGGATGTGACCACTGATAGATTCTAAGTTAAGACTTTGGGGTTTTATCATCAGAAAAGATGGACTTTTCCCTGTTCTAGTTAGATGCCCATAAATCCCAGTAACAGGCTCTGATTGGTCTCACTTGGGTTGCATTCCCACCCCTGAGCCATCAGATATGGCTTATAACAAATGAAAGCTTCTATTTGAACCTCATGGGTGGAGCTGGGGTAGGGAGTGGGGCTGGGTAGGAAGAGCAGGTACCAAAAGAAGCACATGCTCACTTGTCAGAATGGGTGATGCTTAGCAGACAGAACAACAGATGGGTGTTAGACAAGTCCATTAGTGCTGACTCTGTAGGAGAGAGGAAGCGTTTTCAACTCCCTTCAGTTTTGCCAACTGAATAGGCCACAGATCTTGCTATTGCTACAGGCCTCCGTTAGTTCATTCATTTCTGCCCGGTCCATCTTACTATTTGCTAAAATATCCCTTCACCTCTGTGTGGATAGAATCAGTATCTCACTTGCAAACACTCTTGAGAGTTTTACAAACTGTGGATTACGACACGTTAGTGAGTGGTGAAGTTGGTTTAGTGAGTTATAAGCAATATCAAAAAAGTAGAATAGCAGATTACTGAAGAGAAAGCATCATCAGTTAAAGGGAAGCACTGTTACTTCATAAAGTTGTTTCAGTTATATCGACATATAGCTATGTAAAACTAAATATAGTATATATATGATAAAGGCATACCAGGTCATTCTGGATTTGCAATATGACATTTTCTTTCTTGAGTTACAATAAAAAAGACAGTCTGACATGTATTATGGAATGCAGTGTTTTGATATGTTACAGGCTCATGCCATGAGAATAATTCAACAGCAAAAATATCTTCAGACTTGTTGATTCTCTATGAGATAAAGTAGATGGATCTGGAAATAATAATCTATAGCAGTATTATCCAATTTTATATGTAGTTTTATTTTAAAAGTGAATTTTAATAATATATTTATATGAACTCAATATATCCAGTGTTACCATTTCAACATGTAATCAATATTATCATTTATGAATGAGTTCTTTTACACCTTTTTGTACCTGTGTATTTTGTATTTACAGCACCTCTCAGTTAGAGGTCACAACATTCCCAGTGCTCAGTAACTACGTGTGGCCGTCATATTGGACAGCACAGATCTAGACAGTTTAATGGAAAAGGAAAGGTTTGGAGGCTAAAATATTTAATGGTTGAATTATTATCCCAATTGACTGAATTAATTAGGTATAAAAGAGGTAGTATTAGGTATTATCTTTTATAAGGTAGAAAGAATTTAAAATGGGGACAACCCACATCAAATCTTATCTGTTCACTTAGTAGCAGTAAAACCTTGGACAAGTTGCTTGACATTAATTTTCCCATATGAAAAATGGGGCTAATCATATCTATTTAGTACAGTTTTCTGAGTATTAAAGCTAATGTTAGTCAATATAATAAGTCATTATCATGATTGCTATTATTACTAATTTTACTGTTACTTAACCTGCTAGTAGAGACGAAGGCATAAAGATACCAGACTGCCCTGGACACTTAAGTGTACGTATGGCCACATAACAACACTCCTCATATATCGGTTACAATATGCCACACACTGCTCACGCACTATACCAGCATTCAAGTTAGCTCCTCCAGTTCAGAACTCTTTGAGGATTGAACGCAGACATTCCATTACAGACTTGAGAAATGCAGTAACCAACATCACTGGCCCATCAGGCACTCTTAGGGATTCCTCACTGACATTCTTCTGAGTAATTCCTTTATAGTCATTTAGAAAGGAGCTCCCAGTGTGAAAACTCTTAGTCAGCTGTATTTCCCTATTGAGTGTGTGGTTGGAGGTAGGTAGCAAAGGGTAATGAACAGAGCATAGCAGGTAAATAGTAGGCTCCAGCCTCAGCTCTTTCCCTCATTAGCTGTGAGCCTTTGAGTGAAGCTGTTACTGTATCAGTCTTAAAGTCCTCATCTGTGAAATGGTGGTAATACTTACATCTGCTTAATCTACTGATGTATTCTTATGAGAGTCAGATGAGGTAGTATATAAAGAAATGTCACAGGAATGTTGAATGGTCACACAGACAGTACTGGGAGGATGGCACCACTTCAACAAAATAATTCAGGTGTTCAGGCAGATCCATTCTGCTCTGTGCTGTAGAGGATGTAACATTATGCAAAATCTGGAGTTTTAGTCAATGTGAAGTTGAGTTCCCATTGTTCTACATTTCATAAACCGTGTAGTTCAGCATTATTATGGAACTCAATGCCATTGTTTCGATTTTCTCTGGCCATCGTTCTTAATCATTTCCATGGAAAACACTCTTTTTCTGTTCATCACTGGATTGACGTGGACTGTGGGACATCCACTGAAGTAAGTAAATTGAAAGGACTGACTGACTGTTTTGGAAGAAACCAGGAGGCTTGATGGCACTTCTATTTCAGCAAGTCATTTTTTTTTCCCCTCAAAATTTTCAGACAATGAACTATGAGTTGGTGACATGTAAAAATAACTGACATTAGAAAATGAAACTGACAGAAATGGAAATGATGAGATATGAGGTTCATATAAAGCTTCATTTTTCAAGCCAGTCAGGAGACCAGGTTCCTGAACAG